CAGAGCTGCATTTGAGTGAAGAAATTCTAATTTCAGCCATATTCAAGCAAAAACCTCTGTGTCAGCAAACATCTGTGTCCGAGAGCATGACAATGAATCTCAACCAGCTGCAGGGCTGTTGGCCCTGACCTCTGACCTGGATAGACATGGAGTGTTTCTCTGAGGGTCAAGAGAGTATACAACAAATAAAGGAATATATATTCTTTATACAAAGGGGAATGTGAATGAAGGACCTTCTTCTCTCCATAGGCATGGTATGATGTGTATGTGCTATGGCTACTTTTTAATTGCCCCCTGGGGAATTAATAAAATACAGTGAATTGAGTTGAATCCCAACCTGCTGTCATGGAGCAGCATCAATTAGTCTGTAGATGAGTTCATTTCCAAGAGTTAGATAGTTAAGTCATTTGTTTTGTTAACAAGTAAACCACATATCATAATTTTTATAATATTATATAGTTTTATATAAATTTTGCTTTTTGTGGGTATTTTTGTAGAGTTAATCTAGTGTAGTGTCACATTTTCAACTGAGCCATATGACTTTCTAGGTATTTAGAAAGAAAGAAAGAAAGAAAGAAAGAAGAAAGAAAGAAAGAAAGAAAGAAGAAGAAAGAAAGAAGGAGAAAGAAACACATCACCATACAGTCTTACTCTGCTTTTTCTTCCAGGTACAAATCCAATGAGGACTATGTTTACGTTCGTGGTCGCGGTCGGGGGAAATACATCTGCGAGGAGTGTGGCATCCGCTGTAAGAAACCCAGCATGCTGAAGAAACACATCCGAACACACACCGACGTCCGGCCTTATGTCTGCAAGTTCTGCAACTTCGCCTTCAAGACAAAAGGTAGGGCTTGCTTTTCTACTGGAAGTATGTAATAAATCTGTTCAATCATCTGTTTCAATCATCATGGTTCAGTAAAACACAAGACTAATCATATTTTTCTGATGTTAACAGCTTTTATTAGCTGATTTGTTAGTTGGAAAACTTGACGTTAGAGCTTTGACTGAAGAATTAAATCCTAGAGCACAGAACAAAGTGGTTAAATGAATGAATAAAACATGCAGAGAGACTGTTTTCTGTCGCTGTGGTCAGACAGGAACCTCCATCATATCAGAGGTTGAAGATGCTGAATCGCTGATATCTGATCTTTAATAAAAAGCCATTATCTGCCTGATAGGTTTTCAACCCCCCCCCCCATGTACAATATGTATCTGGCTTTGCATTCAACCAACTGAAGCAGAGTTCAGACCAGATTGAGTAATTTAGTCATTAAATCACATTATGTATAAATTATGTATAATTTGTAAATTATAATTTTGTGGTGTCGATCTTTCTTCCACCGCTTCTATTTCCATTTCACCGACTTTCTTTTTCGCTCTTGTGTTGACGAAGCCAAAGCTCTGGTTTCCAGTAAGACTAGTCAAAGGGTCATTAAATGGTGTGTGTATTTGTGTGTGTGTTTTGTAGGAAACCTGACGAAGCACATGAAGTCTAAGGCTCATATGAAAAAGTGTCTGGAGTTGGGAGTCTCCATGTCTTCTGTTGAGGACAACGAGGCAGACGAAGGAGGTAGGAAAACACACGCGAGCAACTAAAACACACACACACACACACACACACACACGCACACACTCCAGGAACTGCAATGACATCCTGCTGTCTCGTTGAGTGCTGCCTGCAGTGTCTTTGGCTCGGAGCGGTTGTACAGGGACAATTAGTGTAATGGAAAGCAGAGCTCATCCTGACAGCCAGTCCTCATGTCAAACCACCATACGGACACACAAGACCCTGTGAAGAAACCAACAAACAAAAGAAAAACATCCTTCTACTATTTGTTTGGAGTCTCTATTACAATATTCCCATGAACAATTTTAAAGCCACAGTTTTATTTCCAACCAGTTACTCAGAAATAGCAACAAATACTTGCTGCTCATCACCTCCGACCGCTGACACTGCGGGGTTCGCGAGTTTCAGCCGTTCCTATTAATCAGATGATATGGAAATAATCTGAAAATTATTACTGGGCTGAGAGGGATGAATGTGATTCCCCATGAAATATTCACAAATAATAAATTGTCATCAGCTGTCTCTCCGGGCCCTGATGGTTTCTGAACAGATGAGTGGGGTTTGGTGTCTCGTTAATCTTTTGATGACTTGATAATGAAGCTGGAAATTAGTGCGAGAGTAGAGTTTTCACCATCAAAAACAACAACTTCTCCGTTGTCAGATTGGTCAATTTTGTCTTTAAACAGCCGGGTCGGTTGTGTTAAGGTAACAACAACAAAGTCAGTCCTCCATTATTGTAATAAGTCATTAGATTTGCCTGTCAGCAGGTGTTAAAGAGTAAAAATGAAGGTTGGTTTGGCAACTTCAGATCATGGTGTTTTCAGTGGATGAACTAAGCCGTTATCGTCATATTGCACCAACATCTGACTGTAGCTGGTGGTAATTTTCCACCATGTAGACATTACACTTTACTTCAATTGACCCTGTGTGTGTGTGTGTTGGCTCGGCGTTTAATTGGGACACAAACCCACACACGCACACGGGGGTTTTTGGGAAAGAGAGAGCTTCAGAAAGTCAGTGAGTCGTCGAGACATAAACATTTGTGGTTTGTGAAAAACTCTTGTATATAAGAGACTAACTGGAAAAGTAGCCGCGTGTTAGTGGATCTGATTTCCGCTCATAGCAGTCGGCTAAATACAATTTATTAACTCCAAACAGCTTCTGCTTCTCTACTCCTGGAGAAAACCCAGGAGAACCAAAAGGAAAAAGAGAAAAGGAGAAAACATATATCATAGAAATATTTTTAGATTTTTGATTTCTTTCTGGCCAGATGAAAAACTCTGAAAACTTCAGGATTAGTGTGCAACTTTATAAACTTTGACTCTTTAGTGTGAAGAGTCACAACAACAAAACAACATTTTCATTCCCAAATTTCCCTTTTCTTCAGTTTCATCAGTTATCAGCCAGTCAGATACATTGTAGAATAAAGCGATGGTTGGTTACCTGCCAACAGTAACTTCGCAGCTACTGTACAATAAGCGCTTGCCAGCATTTGGCGTGATGCCATCCTGCAGAAAAACCAGAAAGTGTCGAGGGTTTTGTCTCAAATAACTTAGTTTTATTGTGTTTTATATTTTATTGGTTTGAGCTGGTGGGAATGTGGTTTCAGTGGTGTTTTGTTTCTCATCTAAACTCTTTCTCTTACCACATATTAATACAAACTGGTTCTTTCTCTCGACTTATCTTTCTGTCCTTTTCTGTTCTGTTTGTTTCCTCAACGTTTGCTTCTTCTTCTCACTTCTTCCTCGCTTTGTTCCTCTCCTATGTCCTCTTTTGTCTCCTCTTCTTCGTCTTTATCTGATCCTGCTTCTTCTTCTGTTTTATTGTCCCCCTCTAACGTTGACTTTCTCTCCTTCATCTTCTTCTTCCTATCCCCTGTTTGTGTCTCCCTTCCTCTTATAGATGTTGGAGAGGACGGCCAGAGGTCTGAAAAGATTTCCAGAGGCACCATGGCGGAGCACCAGTTCTCGGATGCAGACGACTCAGAGGGCGGAGAGGAAGACGGCGATGAGGTGGACGATGAAGACGATGAAGAAGATGACTATGATGGTGATTCCACCCCTAAGACTCGTTCGCGCTCCACCAGCCCGCAGCCTTACGGCCTTCCCGCCATGTCAATCACAGCCGTGGCCTCCTCCCATCCTGCTCCTCACCTTTCCCATCATTCAGCCTCTGACCTCCTGGGAAACACCAACAAGCCTCCGCTGTTTGGCTACTTTACCACCGTGCCGAGTATCCAGATCACACCGCAGGCTCCCCCCAGCGACCCAGCCGGGAGGGAGCGCAGTCAGGCAGAGTACCAGCGAGGCCTGCAACGGGCACTCGGCAGCAGGCTGCTGGTTCCACCCTCCTCCTCCATGGATGAAGACCTGCCCGCCCCCTCCCCAGATCTCTCCTCGCCCTCCTCCCGCCTTTCATCACCTGGGCTGGACCACTCAGGCTGCCCGTCCCCCATCTCGCCTTCCTCCTCACCTTCAGCCCACCGATACCTCTCCCCACGTCGTGATCTCTCACCCCACACCGGGCACCTCTCACCCCATCGGGACATCTCTCCTCTGCGTCACATCTCCCCCAAGAGGGACCTTGGGGTGGCAGGGGGGTATCGCCGAGACCTCTCCCCCAGGAGGGGACACCTCTCGCTGCTCTCCCCTCTTTCTCGGCCCACGTCTCCGGCAGGAAGAGACTACAAGCGTGACCTTTCACCAAGAGGCCGCCACAGGGGGATGATCCGGCCTCTTTCTCCTCGCCGAGGGCTGCACCAACACTTCCACCACCAAAGGTGAGTCAGGAGGAGGAGCTTTTGTTATGTCTGACAACCAGAAAAATCAGCAACGTCCAAATAGAAGCAAACTACGGCGGCCATTAGGGCCATTGTAGGTAAAAGAAAAAATCATTATGGAGCCAGGGGAGAAAAACTGAGAGTTTCCAGTTGTAAATTTACAAAAAAAAAGATTCAACCTTGCAAAGTAAAGCCATGTGGTTCCTTGACAAAAAATAAATAGTTAATTTGTTACTTTAATCTCAAAGAATTTCGGATTTTTTTTCTTACAAATTTCTGACTTATAACCTCCGAAAATATTTAAAATCTAAAATATTTTTTTCTCATAAATTTGTCTGTTTTTTATTCTCAAATTCATCACTTTAATCTCAGTAAATATCCAAGTGGTTTTTTTAAACTAAATTTATGGTTTAAATCTCATAATTTCCCAGAGTTTTTGCTCTGAAATATATATATCCCCATCTCCTGACTCCATGATATGTTTATTTCTACAATGGCCCTAATATGCCATCGTAGCAAACTGGTTAAAAATGTGACGTTTTTCAATCTTTTAGACTTCTTGTTTGTAATTTATTCTTCAATTCACAAAAATAGCAAGCCCAAACACTTAAAAAACACTTACTGCCCTTTAAGGCTTGTTTAAATTGGTAGAATCAGGTATAAACAATTAAAACCAGACCAAACCAAACACTGACGGGCACAAAGAGCAAATTTCCAACAGCAGAAATACATAAAGATGGCCAAGATCAGCAATGCAGGACTTTTACTATTTAATATAATATTTTATAATGTGTTAAAGATTGGATGAAAGTTTTATACTAATGATTTAATGTACTATTTCTACTTGCTTGTGACCACCAGTCAGCAGAGTGGATCGCGAGGCCTCAGGCCAGGTCACCAGGCTGGAGTGTTGGGTCAGGTAGAGCTGGACCCTCTTGGACGTCGCAGAGGCAGCGCAGAGATGGAGACGGTAAGAGACTAGATGTTCTTTATTGTAACATATCTGTTCTCTGATAATGTGATAGCCAACTTCTCTCTTTTTAGCATATACTGTCGGATTTCTCACATGCACTTTATAAACTTGTAAATACATTACAATAATTCTGGTTTTGTCTGGAACATTTGCCTCCATAAACACCACAAATAGAACACATTAAGGTGCTTCAACTGTGATTTACTACACTTTTGCTGCTCAGGTTGCGGTCCGGTGTGGTAAACCTGAAGTAGAAATGTGGGAGATGGAATAAATGGACAGAAATAAGAGGACAAAGCGGGGAGAAGAAAACCGCCTGGCAGACAGAGCAGAAACATTCAGAGAGGATGAGGGAATAAAGAGCGAGTCAGATAGACTGAGTGTATTAGAGAGAGGCATGATTGAAGATAGGGCTGCTGGGTTTTGGTGGTAATGGGATCTTGGCTGGCGGTGGTGTGGTTAATAATGCGGCTGTTTTTCTTCTTAAGAGCCCTACTTCAAACCCTGGCTTCTGCTGCTGGTCCCACTTAAACAAAGCGTGAAGCAGAGAGTGAGCCTGGCTTGGCTTTGATAACCGACAGTTCTTCAAATGATAGATTAATGTTTTAACAACCATTATTCAGGCACAAGATGTTTGACTGAGCCTTCATACTTTGTATTTGTTTTTTTAGCAACACCTGCTGTCCAGTACAACCATTTCTGTTTTTGTACTTCTCATCAAGACCTATTAATTTATTTTGTCACATAATATTTTGTTTTCCATCTCAAAGCCTCAAATGTGTGTTTATTGTAACTAGTACTGTCCAATGAGTGTGTGTATTTTTTGTGTGTTTCTGTGAAAGAAGACATTTTCAAATTAACTCACTTGTTCATGATTTCGTCCAAACGCACGTTTTTCAAGTTCGTCTCCTCTTGTGTTTCCAGGAACATCATCCGGGCTCACCGTCGTCAGGGGAACGGGACCAGGGCGGTAGCCGCGGTAACCAGTCCAGTCCACCTCACCAAGTCCTGTTCAGTCACCTTCCTCTCCATTCTCAACTCCAGGTATTTCATTTTTTTGCATAAATACAAAGACTTGTATATCTTTATTTTTTGTACCGTTTTTTCATAATAAATTGAATGTAACATTGTTTTAATAGAATTTTCATTTCATTTCAGGTGCGTTCGCCGTTCCCAATGATCCCCATCGGAGGGATCCAGATGGTACACTCCGTCCCCACGTCCGTCACCACCCCTCTGGCCCAGCAGGGGGCGCAGCAGGTCGCCTCCCGCCTGGTGCTGCAGAAGAGCACATCGGAGGACTCCAACACAAGCGAGGCCGCCTCCCCTCATTTCAGTTCCTTCACCGAGAGGGGAGTTCGAGGGGGAGGAGTAGCTGGAGGAGGAGGCGAGAGGCTGAGGGAGTCACCTCACCCCTCATCGCAGGAGAGGGAAGGAGGAGAAGTGAGGCAGGAGCAGGAGGAGAGCATCCACACCTGCACCAAGGCCATCGCGTCACTCTGCATCGACTCGGAGGAGCTCGCAGAGAGAGGAGGAGGAGGAGGAGGCAGAGGGGATAAAAGGAAAGATGGAGTCAGAGCATCTTCCTCCTCTTCCTCTCCTTCTGCATTATCCCCCGACTCCCAACAACAGCAGCGTTCGCCATCCATTTCCATGTCGCCGCCATCTCCTCACCCTTCGCCATCTCCTCCACAAGGTCCCGGGATTCAGCACTTTAGCGGCCTGGAGCTCAGGCCCCCCTACCAATCGATCCCCACCTCCCCTCACTGTTCCTCCCCCTCTTCCTCCTCCTCCTCTCCTCACCCTCCCAGCCCCGGATCTGAGACCCTCCAGCCTTCATCGGCCTCCAAACCTCTCAAGCTGGAGAGAGACAGGGAGGCAGAAAGCACAAAAAGGAGCAAAGACGTTTCGTAGGGCTGCAGAAGAAGAACAAGAGGACGAGAAACAATGGATTTTTTTGTTTTTTTGTTTTTGGATAATAGGAAGGGATGAAGTGCAACAGAGAGAGAAAAATGACTTTTGCACACTTTACACACATATTCTTCTACATTGGTTTATACATACATACATACACACACACTCTCTCTCTCTCTCTCTCTCTTACACACACATACATAAATACAATGCATACAAAGAAAAACAGCTCTTGTCAAAAAAAAGATGAAAACACAAATGAACTTCTGCGGTTTTAATGTTTGTGTACAGCATGCCTGTTCTAACCGGGGCCTGCTCTCAGAAACTTTCTTATTTAAAGACTTTTAAGAGGATCTGCATACGGTTACACAAGTACGTTAACTCCCACCAACACATGAGCCCGACCAAAATCTGCGAAAAAAGGACTCTGGTCAAACGGTACGACGAAAAAAGAAAAAAAAAATCAGACAGCTATGTGTGTGCCTTTTCTTTAATTTTTTTTGTTTGTTTTTTTTGCTTATATTATTATAAGCAAACAAAGCAGGAAGGTAAATGTAAATACAATACTATCACGTTTTGCGTATCAGCTTTGTAATAAATGCAATCCCCCCCTTCTCCTCCTCTTCCTCCTTTGCCCTTTTACCTCCCCCACCTCTTGTGTTTCTTCTTTTTTTTGGACACCTTAAAGTCTCGACAAGCGATGTGAAGTTATGGATATTACTATTACGTACGGTTGCACTAAAACATATTTTTATATGAGTGAAATTTTAAAAATGGCTTTTTTTGTGTACAGCAGCAATTCTATAATACTATTTATTATTGTTACCATGTTTCATAAATTGTAAATTTTTTCTTAAATGTCGTGGATGCCTTTTTCTATGTAAAGCATGGGTTTTTTGCTATCGCTTACATTAGGGCGAGGATATGTACACTGTAATATGGCTTTATATGTTAGACCTATTTATATACGTCTAAGTGAGCCCCCTCTACTTGGAGGTATATACACATAGAAGTAAGATTTACCAGAATATTTACCCAGCATATGAATACATACAGTATATAGAATCTATCAACCTATCTATCTATCTATCTGCACTTAACATTTAGAATGACATTCACATTAAAGTAGTTTGCTTGTACATTTTCTCAGCTGCTCTTTGCCTGTCCCTGGTTGGTGATTTTTCTTGTTTTTTACTTACTTTTGTGGTATTATTTCTTGTTTTGATTTTTACGAGGCACAGAATTGCCCTCAGCATTAAGTGAATGAACATGCCTTCTTGCACCGCGGCATTCTGCTCAGCACCCCCTGCACACACCCCAATCCACACACCCCAACATCGCCTCCATCTGCGAATATTGCGATGTTACGCTGATTAAAGGTAGCTCCAAATTCTGGGGGAAAAAAACAACTTTGCTTAAATGAATTCAGTTTTATTTGTCAGATATCTGAACGGGGAAAACATTCCAGTCCATGTAAATATTCAGTCAACTCCCCTAAACACACACACACATAATTTTTTTTTTTTTGGCATTGATGCACATTGTGGCCATGGCAATCAACCCACCAAAACTTTTATTTAATGGCTTTATTTCTGGGGACAAATATATAAACACACACATCAAACTCTGACAAATGCACCTTATATTTCTTAGGATATCTGCTATGAAAGTCCCAGCACTCTGGTCAGTTTTTTTGCAGCAAAACTTTGATTGAAATGGAAGTGTTTAGGAGAAGAACTGCTCCGTGCTCTGAACCCCCGAAATTGTCTGAAAAAATAATCAGAATAATAGATTTAACAGTTGTGACATTGAGGCTTTCTGCACTGCTTTTTTGATCCTCCACCGCTCCTGGATATCCTTTGTGTAGCTAAGCAATATTTAGCCAAAACTCTGCTTACCAGCAGGGAGTGTATTTGTTGCAAGGCAACAATAAGCATAATTAAAAATCCTAAAATCAGGAGAAGAAAGGAGCAATTGGGAGGTTGTGGTGATTTCAGTGACACAACTCTTTTCTCTTTTGACAGTTTTGGGTTGAGTCGGGCAGGCTGCAATGTGAGTGTGTATCTCTGTATTCTGTATCGGTGTGTATTCGACCAGTATATCCTCTTCTTACGACTTTTTTCTATTTCGATCCTCCCTCTGTTATGTACACTTATCATGACGACAATGATGTCTTTAAAAAAATCTCTTTCTCTCTTTCAAAGATATCAAAGCACAAGTCATTGTTTAGAAATGACAACAATATATTTAAAAAAAGGACAAAAAAAAGGTAAACGTGCATATAAAAGGGTAACTTTTGTGATGGTGTTCTGTGGAATTAATACAAATATCATGTATGAACCCAGTTGCAACAAGGAATCGCAGTAGAAGTGGAAAAATGGATTGTTGTTTTCAAATAAATATGAATAGAATAAGTTGTTTGTGTTCCTTTTTGTACAGCTTTTTATTATGTTATTGATGATGCAGTATATTTTGTTGTATTTAAGTTTTAATACTAATAGCAATAGCAAACTCCTCAAATGCGGCTGTTGATCAGTCCAGTTAGCCTTTCAAAATAAAGCTAGCTGAGAAACATCTCACATTTAATTAGTTTAAACTGTTGCAGTTTATAGGTTAAGTGTAGGCACAACCGCTACTTGGTTAGTTTTAGGAAATCATTGCACTTTGGGGTAAGATAAGCACGTAATGTAACTTAAGAGGAAGTCAGCATTGACTTTTGTTCTGGGTCAAAGTCCTGTGTTTGTTTGACCCCTCCAACAACCCTGACTTCCTCCTCCATATGTGGACTTACCCGCTCTTTATATTACGTCACCTGATTTTGACAGCACATCAGAACATTATGCCAGATGGGCAATCCAGAAAGGCCGCTATAGGGTTACCTACAGCATCCTAGTTTGAAGTGTAGGGCTAACCAAACTGTCATATTTGACAACTTGATATGAAAATGGGTTGCAATAGCAGTACTATTACAGTACACTGTTAGCAGTGACAGTAATAATCAAAAGTAAAATTATTTGTAGCAGTAATGACAGCCGTAATAGAAGCAGATGTAGTACCAGTATCCAAAAAAGTAGTCATATCAGAATCAGAATCAGAAATACTTTAATAATCCCAGGGGGAAATTACTTTTGTACTCTAGAACATATAACATATTAAGAATATATATCATATATATATATATCTATATATATATATATATATAATATATATAGGTATATATATATTATGGTTAAAATGTACAGTTTATAATGTGCAAAAAGTTCAAAAATGATTGTCCGTGTTTTGATGTATAGTTACCACTCTATAGCAGTTGAACATTCACAGTATTTGTGGAAACAGGAGCAGAAAATTGTCATGCTACTTGTACTGGCTGACATAATAAATTGTACTCAGGGACCACGCCACGTTGTCACTGTGCTAAAGATGTACCAATCTATTCATATTGCCATGTATATTCAAGCAGATGGCTGCCTACCCCTTCACCAGACCAAACAACAAACAGGGATTCAGTACTGAAGAGCAGGAACTATAGTTGTGTAAGGAATTGGTCATTCATAGTTGAGGAAAAAGGGATTAATAAAGTGAAAGATACATGGTAAACAAATATCCCATCAAAGTAATGGTATTTTCCACACATCAAAATTCACACAAACTTCTTGGCATGCCTTTCAAATATGCTCATGTTCTTGTCTCGTTCCCCCTGCTGACTCAGCTGTCCATCAAAACACGTCCATCATCCTATCCGCCTCCAGAGACACTAAAGGATCTTTTTTTTATCAATAACAATAAAAACTTTGACTGCCAAAAAGCAAAAGAGTATTTCAGTTGGAACCAAATTGGAAAACATATTGTTGTCAGTATCAGGTGGGATATAGGAGGGAATCCATACATCCCCCAGTGTGTATTCTACATCCCTAACAAACACCTACTACTTACAGTAATGTAACGGTTGTAATCACCAAATAATAGAAGCAGCAGCAGTAATGG